ATTAATATTAGCACCTTTGATGGAAGGCTCTTAATCATAACCTTGGTGTCCCATCACCTGGTCTAAATCACACATACATGTATGGGATCATCTTCAGTGAGATTCCTGCGTCTGCTGGCAAAGCCTGCGTCTGCTTCTTCCTCAGTATGGCTGCTCCAACACTACAACATCCATGTGCTTGCTGTGGCCTACACATGTGCCAACTCGGGAAACCTTTGAGGAAACTCCCTTACAATGCATAGGACCATCAGGTTTGCTCTCTCGGGATATGAAAATCTCTGGAATGTCAGTCAAGAACTGATCTGAATTTCTCAAAGGACTATTAACTGTGATTCCCTTTGTATTTCCTCCACATCAGGACTACATACTGTAAGCAGACAGAAGTTCTGATCCCAGTTCAATCAAGGTGCAACATGCCAAACAAATATCACCACTGAGCACTACCAAAAACAAATTAGCTTATTAAACCCAAGGGATTCCATACATCCAAAAGATAGATCGAATCAATACACTGACCTCATCTTAAATATCACTTTAAGTGCGTCTCATTCAAAATACCGTTTTTCAAACATCTCATAAATAAACTTTAACAAATACAATATCCTATAACATTAGAACGTTATTCATGAAATTCATTCTTGGTTTCTAAAAGCGACAGTTTAAAATATTTCCACTACATTCAACTGAACCTTGATTGAGAACGCCCTCAAGGCGTCTGGAATGAGCCTGGAAGATGTATTTGCCATGGTGGATTCCTGTGAGCTGGCTAATTGCAGGTTTAATAAAGACGAATGAGATACAAACTAAATATTTTCAGTTTAATAAGAATGATTAATGATTTTGAAGGTGATAAACTTCAACTCCTAATGACTTTCTTCCCTCCATAATCTACTCTAGGGACAATTACTCAATGTTGCAGATCGCAGGGGATACAGCACTAATCTTTCACAAATCAAATCTTGAAAAATACAGCTTTTATTCAGTCTTAAAATGGAACCTGGGCATTAATCATTTAAGCACAAAACTGTTGAAGAATGATTCAAATCCCAGTTTATTTGTGACCCAAGATTTCCAGTTGAGTGACTTCAATAACAGTGATGTGACTTGACATCTCAGGGACTCTCTTTGTTGGGAGAGAGTCTCACAGGTTCTGCAGGATCCTGATTGTGCAAATTCTAATTTGGCGAGTGTGACTGTTCTGAGAGCCTGCACCACTTACTGTCTCCTCCATTTCTAATTAATTAATTAGACTGTCGTGCTGGTTATCAACCAGACAAGGCTACACTCCAATCCCTTCGCCCAGAAACAAAGTCTTTCAATCAAAATGCTCAATTGTCCTCCATTCTGTGAGTTAGTGAACAAAGACGGGGGAAGACCAGAGAGTCAAGCCACAGACAACTGTCCGGCTGCCTCAGACAATGGAGCCATCCATCCTGCCAGCTTCCCAGAGCCCCCTGCCATTGGTGTTCATGGGTCCCATGGACTCCATTGTCCCGAGGTACTATAGAGAGAACACCACTTCTGGTATGCTGGCACTGCACAGTTCCAAGGGTGATGTTGGAATGAGCGAACTATTTCTTCCATACAACTGCTTTTTGGAGCCATTCCATGCTTGATTGGTCTCTTCCTCTGAGTCATAGGAGAATCTCACAAGGCTTTCTTACAATCAAAGAAATCTGTGCTTTATTAACAACTGAGTAATTTCTGGAACTGTCGCGGCTTAATGATACTTGACAGGCTGGTATTCTGCACTCAGCATATGAAGTTGTAGCTGATAGAATTAAGATGACGCTGCGTAATAAAACCAGAGCTGATTCAAGAAATATATCAGGAAGATAATAAAATATGTTTATAGGGAATTATACATATAAACAAAGATACATTACGATGGTGGTGTTTATGGAAGTTATAAACACAAGTACACGAACTTCAAGATTTATTGATTTATCTGACTCTCAACTCTTAAAAAGAGGCAGGTGTAATCTGGAGCATAATTTATATCCTTTTATCCAGTTTCCTTACAAAGTAAACAAACTAAAAAGACTACAGAAATTACATATGAAAACAAGGTTATTCCCTGCATAAACAGATAGCCAGGCAGTGTGCTGCCCAATCAGGGAAGACACGAGGAGATCTGGGTGTGTTAGAAGAATAGATATCAGTTAGCCCTTATCTCTGATCAAAGACAAACACAGCCCAGAGTTAGAGAAATACAAGAAGTTTTGTCTGAAAAGAATCTTTGTTGTAAGTGTAAGTGGATCTTCACCTTCCCCTCGTCCTGCTCGGAGACAGTACATTGCTTGGTCTCAAACAATACGCCATAAGTTGATACAAACAGCTTGTTATTCATGGCTCTGCTTACTGCCTCCGATATTTACCTTACAGCTTACAGAATCAATTATCACTGTCGCCATTTTGCCCTGCACACTTCTGACAGAAGACATTTCCACATAGGTGACTCGATGCAAAGACATTTTGTGTTTTCAGATCAGTGTTAACGAGTATTTGATGAAAGAACATTTTATTTTTAACTAATGGTGTCGGTACAGAGATTTCATTGTTAATATTGCCAAACAATGAATGCTCAATTAAACAGGCAACTCTGAAAACAAATAATATTTGTTGAAGATAAAAGTTTTAAGTGACCTTCTGTGGCTTTCTCAAACAGGAATATTGCAATGTCTTCTGGAAATATGACTGTGGAAAAAACAACTCGAGTTCTAATATATATGTATATTGATCAAAGCGAATATCTTATTAGTAAAGTAACCATTTAACCAAGAAGAATGGTTTATTTCTCCACATACTGGACTGTGAAAAACTTATCAAGAAGAGTATTCATACGCAGTGAACTGCTGAACTATTTCCAGTACCAATTTAACGAAGTCTTTCAACCGAACAGACAATTCACTTGTTGCTGGAAGACAGTGTAAATGTTCTAAACAGCATTCATCTGTCTTCAATGTTGTGGCAACACCATTTGCTAGCTCGCTCTCACTCACTCACCCACTGTAAGTAATATAGACCAGTCCAGGCAAACCAGTGGTCAACAACAAGAGCAATAAAACCTGTTTGACACAGTCATCAGTTTTCATATAACAACCAAATCTACACATTAGTCTCCATTGATACAGGTTATGAATCTTTTCAACCTCATTGCATATTTAGGAAAAAAGGTAAATGTTCTCTGCCACCATTGTAGCATGGATGAAGTCAATAAACAGAATGTTTGTGGAAAATGCTAGCCATATCTGTAGAACTCATACAGGCTCATGCAACTTTTCTCAATTTTCTGAGAATAATTGAATCTGTACAATTCAATTTTGCAGCACAATGATTTAACTCCTGAGTTTTTGAGCCTGTAATTAAAGATTGCCTCCATACCAAACACAATAGCTCATACAGATCTCCTTTCACTTCACGATCGTCTCATATTACCAGCTAAATATGAGCAATTTCAGCGTGGAACAGACTCAAATTCAATTGAAATGTAAGAATAAGTCTTACTGATTTTATATAGAGCACTTTGTGATTACTTCAGGTAACGCTTACACTTACTTGGTAACTCATTACTAAATGTCAGTGGCCAATGCAAGGCAACATGATTAAAGAAGTGTAATTTTCTTGAGGAAAACCAGAAACTGCAATTTAATTATATGTCTTTCCTGAAAGAAGATTTCACAGCGTTTGTGTTGGTGGTAGTGACAACGGATGTTTTGTGCAGTGTTAAACTGAAGGTTGGTGGTTCCCCTGACATGGTCGCCACGACGATTGAGGAGCAGACGCCGAGGATCATCCATTACTCGGGCAGTTCGAGCTGCTTCATCTCTCACACACTGCTAATGTAACAGGTGGAATTAACCCCATCGTTCTTCCCGGACAGTAAAACTATCTCTGTCTAAACTGGCCACAATTAACGCCGGCCGCTCATGTTTTAGACACAGGCAAAAAGCGGCACATGCAACTTCCAATTAACACTAAATTATGCAGTTGAGAAAGGAATTGTGTGTTTTTTGTAAAACTTATTTCCCCAAGGAGTGATGAGTCTCAATTACTTTGCAGCTATTTCCCTACAACTACCTCTGGTGGCTACACAAACTGTCATTGCCAATTCTAACAATCTCACACATTTGCAGGCTGAAGCTCACCTGCGTGTCTCAGAATCTAATCTGAACTGATTGGATCACTGCAGATTGGGAAAATTCAAAATGACTGTTGTAGCTGTGTTGTAGCTGGTCAGAGCACTCAGTGGTGGGATATACGGTAGATATCACACTCTTGTATAGCTCACCTCACCTCAACAACATATATACATTGATTCTAGATTACACTTACATATTGGAGCTCACCTAAACAAAACATACAACACTCTTCTAATGAGTGAGTGAGTAAGTGAGTGAGTGAGTATGAAATTACATCGCTTTTAGCAATATTCCAGCAATATCATGGTGGTGAACACCAGAAAAGGGATTCAGACATTTTACCCATGTGGGGAATCGAACCTGGGTCTTAGGCGTGATGAACAAACGCTTTAACCTGACGACTCTGACACCATCTGAAGCTGAAGCTCACCTGAGTGTGCTGAGTGAAAATACTACAATATTATAGACACAATATGTCTATTCTCACTTGTTAGCTGGTTGTTCTGTAGATGTAAAATGAGAGTAACTGAACATAGTTTGTATGTCACTTTTAGCAATATTACAGCAATATGACAGTTACAGACACCAGAAATGTGTTTCACACATTGTACCCAAGTGGGGAATCGAACCCGGGTCTTCGGTGTGATGAGGCCACTTAACCACTAGACCACTGCCCTTGTAAAAGGTGAATTTAGTTTCATAAAAATATATGTCTCTGCAGTGTGTTGCTGTATCCTTCAAGAAAGTGAATTCTGGGGTAGATCTTTGACCAGTGTCCACTTCGGCAAAGCTGTGAACAATAATTCAGTCACCAGGTCAAGCATACTCTACATGTCCCATAGAAAACACCCAGCTTACCTGAAGAAGTAGAAGTACACAGCTGAGGCGATACTGAACAGCAGCACCTGTAACATAAAATCTTGTGTTTAGCGTAAAACCTCAGACGGTACCGCACCATGACTGCGGAATGCAGTGAACATAAATCTAATTTGCATCACAAACATGGGCAAGTCTAGCATAGGAAAATCAGCAAAACAAACTCATCATGTTTACAGAAGAGAGAAATGTGTAATGTAGTAAAATATTTCATTGAACGCCTTTCAGCTTAGGATTAGGGGAGGTGGGGTAGTCTAGTGGTTAAAGCGTTGGCTCGTCACGCCGAAGACCCGGATTCGAATCCCCACATGGGTACAATGAGTGAAGCCCATTTCTGGTGTCCCCCGTCGTGATATTGCTGGAATATTGCTAAAAGCGGCGTAAAACCAAACTCAGTCAGTCAGCTTAGGATTAGGTTTGAGGTTGACTTTATAAAGTCTGTAAATAAGGTAGTACATATTCCATTACTACGTACCCAATGGCCATGTCATCTAAACATGATCAATTTCTTCCAAATAGTTCATTTATGTCCAGACAAATCTTGACTTATTTGATATATGAGCCTACCCTGAGTTATAAAAAAGATATTGTATGAAACTGTTTTGATTTAATTTTATACACAAAACCAACAACAAAATAAATATGCATAACAAGTTTAGGAAAGCAACCCTAATAAAATCAAACCTAACAATATTTGTTAGTTTATTCATTCGCAAAATGATTCCTGGCATTTTGAAAGTGACAATTTGACAACAATGTGACTTGTAATTATACAAACCATTTAGATGCTATTTCAACATACCAAACAGACATTACATTCTAATTAGAGATAATTCAAATGTATGAGAAAAGTATTTACTTATGAAATAATTCATGCTCGAATTTGGATAAAATATAAAATCAATAGAAAGTGATGCTTCAACATTAATTGAAAGTATTGTTTGGGGTTTTCTAGTTTACATTATGAATCTTAATATATTCATTTTTCATATCACCTGTTAATGAAAAATAACCATAATTTTTTATCTTGTTTGTACCTGCTGTGACCAGTACTGTGGACATCATGGCAAGTCAGTTTAATGGTTGGGGAAGTCATGAAGTGTTGCAGGTCCTAAACATGGCCACATAGGTGATTGGGCACAATGTTTTGTTTTCAATTATCCCAGTATAAACGCTCAGTGTTTCGGTTTACTACACCATCTGGTAGATCCAACCACACCATTTGGTAGATCCGACCACACCATTTAGTAGAACCGACCACACCATCTGGTAGAACCAACTACACCATCTAGTAGAACTGACCACACCATCTGGTAGAACCAACTACAGTGTTTCTGTTCTCTGGTATATACCTGAAAATCGCCCATAAAATTTGTTGGGGACCGGTAAACTGAAAGCCAGCCGGACACTATGTCCGGTAAATAATCATGTATTATAATAAAATCATGAGTAAGCGAAATGACAGTCTTGGCTGTGCTTTCATGGTCACAAAAAATGTTATTTTTCGGAAATACCCAGGCTAAAAATAACTTTAAAATGACAGTCGATCCGGCACCTTGTGATTGGTCAATGTAATCAGTCATTTGGAATTTTCAGTTCAAATACTATTATCTCGGATTACAGCTTAGAACGTAATGAAACGGAGTAAGCCGAAGTTTTTCCGATTGTCTAACCACATGTCAAAATGGCTCGAAGGCAGATGACGCTTTCAAATTTCTTGGGGAGTAATCCACAGTGGGGTGCTTCTAAAAGAAAACATGATGATGATGAATCATTATCTAAAACAACAGATGAAGACACTCAGAGTGAAGGTCGACAGTCACCTGGTTCATCTCAGGAAAAATCGGTGAAGATGAACTTTAGTGATTCATTGCACAAAAGATTTCCAGAAGATTCCATGCACGTGATGACCTGTCTGGATAAAGTTTTGAACCCAATTCACTACCCCGATTCACAAGACACTTGGCTCAATATGTTCGGGATTCCCTAGATCTATTATTAGAACAGTTTGGCCCTGTGATTGGACAAGACGATGGTGAAGTCAGAGCATCTAGCTATCACACAAAAAAAGACTTTAGCCATTTCAAAACTACAGTCGCGGGTCTCGCTGCAACTTCGATGGAGCAGAACTGTAGGGCAATTATTACTGATTTTGCCGATGTGTACCCAAATTTTGATGTTCTCGCACATATAGCACTGACAATTCCAGTCAGCAGTGTCCCTGCGGAGAGAGGGCATTCAGCCTCCAAATATCATTCATACCGCGAGGAGGAATCATCTGTCACAATATCGCCTTTCCAACTTGATGCTTTTAAACTTGCATGCCATAGAGACACACAGCCCGAACTCAATTCAGAATTAAAAAGAGGAATCTTTGAAGGTATGTTTATGTCTTTATTTCGAATTTGTTAGTAAGTTAGGTCTTACAGTATGATAATAGGATATGACCGGCAAGTTTCATTCATGACCCGTAAAATTTTAGGTCGCTGGAAACAGTGTCCGATAAATAATTAAGTCAGTGTAAACACTGCAACTACACCATTCAGTAGAACCAACCACACCATCTGGTAGAACCAACCAAACCATCTGGTAGAACCACCATCTGGTAGAACCAACCACACCATCTGGTAGAACCACCATCTGGTAGAAACATCATCTGGTAGAACCATCATCTGGTAGAACCACCATTCAGTAGAACCAACCACACCATCTGGTAGAACCAACTACACTATTTAGTAGAACCAACCACACCATCTGGTAGAACCACCATCTGGTAGAACCAACTACACCATTTAGTAGAACCAACCACACAATCTGGTAGAACCACCATCAGGTAGAACCAACTACACCATTTAGTAGAACCAACCACACAATCTGGTAGAACCACCATCAGGTAGAACCAACTACACCATTTAGTAGAACCGACCACACCATCTGGTAGAACCACCATCAGGTAGAACCGACTACACCATTTAGTAGAACCGACCACACCAATTGGTAGAAACAACCACATCATTTGGTTGGTTTGTTGTTTAACGCTGCACCCAGCAATATTCCAGCTATATGGCAGCGGTCTGTAAATAATCGAGTCTAGACCGGACAATCCAGTGATCAACAGCATGAGCATCAATCTACGCAATTGGGATAAGATGACATGTGTCAACCAAGTCAGCGAGCCTGACTGCCTGATCCGTTAGATGCCTCTTACAACAAGCATGGCTTACTGAAGATCAATTCTAACCCGGATCTTCATGGCAAGATATGATTTTTAGATCCCACCACATCATTTATCTGTGACATACTCAAGTGAAGTACACAATCAATATCACATGACAGCATTAAACCAGCATCTGAAACTACATTTATTCCATAATACACTGTTATGTATACACATTTATTCCATAATACACTGTTATGAATACACATTTATTCTATAATACACTGTTCTGTATACACATTTATTCCATAATACACTGTTATGTATACACATTTATTGCATAATACACTGTCATGTATACACATTTATTCTATAATACACTGTTCTGTATACACATTTATTCCATAATACACTGTTCTGTATACACATTTATTCCATAATACACTGTTATGTATACACATTTATTCTATAATACACTGTTCTGTATACACATTTATTCCATAATGCACTGTTCTGTATACACATTTATTCCATAATACACTGTTCTGTATACACATTTATTCCATAATACACTATTATGTACACACATTTATTCCCATGAACATAACTATATTTGTAACAACAATGATATAAGAGTTAATACAAAATCTAAACATTATACATATAGGTCTGACCAGAGACCATATAATATGGTCTCTGGTCTGACCTCATGCTTCAGATTTACTATTATTGAATTATGTTTTTCTAAGACATTTTCTAAACTCAAAGCCTGAATTGATCTATTGTTTTATTTCCATTCTTTACACACAGCTGCGGGTCCTATCCACAAGAGTTAGTTTGTGAGTGATCTGAACGTCACACCAGCAATCAGGTTACTGATAGCGTAAGCACAAATCAGAATATAACAAAGCAAGACACGGAAAAATATGTTGCCTGTGGCTACAGCAGATGATCTCAATATAATAACTGACAGAATTACTGGCATTATATGAAATACCTTGATACCTATTAACCCTAAATAACACCATACAGCAGACATGCTCATAAATCTGAGAGTGAACCCTACAGATGCCGGCTTGCCGCTGATAACCGCGCTAATGAAATAACCAGCCTCGGGCTGACCATCACTCCCAGCTACAGGAAACAGTCACTTCCCAACGCATTATCGCTTTTTAAGAACAGTCGGTAGTTTCCAGCCACATACACTATGACTCCAGTTTCAATAATATGGTATTTGGGGGAGTTTGGGTTAAATTACTTGGCATTTATTAGTGATCTGGGAAGACTGCCTGCCGTAAAACCATCCCGCTTGTATGTAGCTTATTGCCCCGTAGAGCCAGGGACCCTTCTTATTAAGCATTACTATCAAATACCTCATCCACACAAACATTACCATGCATGCATGATCTGCATTTCTATTCCTATCTCATTCATTATCCTACATTATACATTCAGCCACAGTATGTTCAATTTGTCTCATTCCGAATTCCATTCCAGTATTCACATCCGATTCCATACGTTACTCAGGTAAGTGTATTCAGCATACAAACATGTTTATGAATTCACATATTAAATTCAGATGCACAGGAATCATTTCAGAATAAATAAAATTTCTTCAGAATAACACATCAAATGAATATACCCTGCATGAGGAAGCTGATGTTGTAAGACATTCCAGCACAAAATCATGAGAGCACAGGTACTGGGTATATCACACAGGGTCTTCAGATGCATTGATTTTTTTCATTACCACAGACAAGAGGGACCACTACCATGTGTCCTACTCACGTTGTTTCTATCAAAATCAAAACATTATATCTCTTCTTATTTAATGGCATGTAAAGGAATTAAACACAACGAGGTCAGGCCAGT